AAGGTGCTTACCTTGCACATGGCTCACCCTGGGTTCAATCTCCAGCATCCCTTGAACATCACCAGGAGTAATCCCTAAGTGCAGAACCAGGAGTAAACCCCGAGGATCGCCAATGTAACCTCCTTACACCCGCCCCACCCCCCAAAAAAGAGTCTTTTTCTCTGGTCTTCAGTAGGAAACTTTCCACTTTGACAGGTGAGGGGATGGATAAGAGAGGGCAGAACACAACAACAGTGGTGGTGGGAAGTGGTCACTCTGAAGGAGGAGGTGTGCTGAAACATGGTAAAGTACTAAGCATTACCAGTTGGTAATTACCCTGTTGGTAGCAGTACTATAAATCACAACACCTAAAGGTAATCACCTCTGATAATTAAAGTACTTGTCATAGAGGCTAGCTGAGGAGGAGATGGTGGGAGGGGAATAGAGGACATCGGTGGAGGGCAGTGGATACTGGTGAAGGGATTGGTGCTGGAATACTGTATTCCTGAAATCCAGAGCTTCATGCGGTCCTCCAAATCATTTCAGGAGTGATCCCTGAGCACAGAGCCAGGAGGAAGCTCTGAGCAACACTGGATATGACAGAACATAAACACAAACACTGTCCTCCCGTTCATCAATTTGCTCGAGTGGGCCCATAACATCTCCATTTTGAGACTTGTTACTGTGTTTGGTATATCGAATACATCACGGGTACCTTGCCAGGCTTTGCTGTGCGGGCGAGATACTCTTAGTAGCTTGCCGGGCTCTCCAAGAGGGGCGGAGGAATCGAACCCGGCTCGGCCGGCTGGCTGTGCCCAAGGCAAACGCCCTGCCGCTGTGCTATCGCTCCAGCTCTACAGAAGACAAACTAAAGTAAAAATTGAGTTTGTGGTATAAGAGTGTGTCAGCTACAAATAAAACATAAGTATCTAGAACCAAGTCAATGTTTGACTACGATGTGGACCATTTTCTTTAAAATAGTGTATAAAATACGTTACTTCTGCTATATTCATGTTGATTCTCATTTCTTTCAGAACATAACTAGATCTTTGCTACTGATCTTGCCCTTTAGACTCTCATTTTAGTTAACTTTCTTGTTCTCAAGGGAAAAAAACTTGGAGCAGATATCTATAACTTAGCAGCACAGCATATGCTTTTGCATGCATGAAACCTGGGATATATCCCCTGCACCACAACACAAATCACCTAACATAGGAAAGAATGGCTCATCGAAAGGATGGACCCCAGGAGGCCGAATATTCTACAAACACCATTTTTCTGCACACAGCAGGTGAAGCAGTTGGGCATCCTGTGGCTTGTGTGACACTGTCAGTCTCATACTTCTGAATACCTAGAAATTCAGAGCAGCAGGTGCCATATTTTTCCTTGCATGCACATGGACAGTGAAAGGGGTTGCCGGGGGGTGGGGGGGGTGTTACACAGAGGTTGAATCCTGATCATGTTTTCTGTTCTCTGAACTCTGAAAAAATGAAGTTCACATCCAGCTTTTTTCTGTTAACATCATCAACCAAGTGTCTTATGAATTTCAGCAAATACACGCAGTTTCATCCTCCTGTCCCCACTGCAGCTTGCATGGGTACATAAATCCTATGCTGTCCCCCAAGTGTGGGCTTGGTTGGTTATAGTTTTAAGCTACTGTAAAGCTAAGTGAAAATGGTGTCCTGATTAAGTGTGGGTAAGAGCAAAAATAGTACCGCTTGTCCTAATCAAATTAGGTCCCAGAAACCTACAAAATATTAAGGGAAATGAAAAGCAACATAAAAACAAGATAAACACTTCCCTGAGCATAAGTTTTACTTTCGAGGGGGAAAAAAAAAACCTTTTCGTTGACGTTATATTTTGGAGAGATGGATCAGGATTCCATAGCTGGCGTGCACAAGGACCTAACTTCAGTGCTACATGCACCCACCACCAGCCTTATCGTCACAGGGTACAGCTCTGGAGACCCCCTGAACACTACAGTGTGTGACCCTGGTGGTAACTGGCACAACTGAGTCTTAGCTCTGAACCCATTGGCTCTTTGACAGAGTATCATGAGTGGTCCCAGAGTCCCTTGAGCACTGCTTAGTAGGCCCAAAATAAAAATCAAAGAAAAGACCTAGGGAAATGACTCAAAAGACTAGAGCAGGGCTGGAGTGATAGCACAACGGGTAGGGCGTTTGCCTTGCACGCAGCTGACCCAGGTTCAATTCCCAGCATCCCATATGGTCCCCCAAGCACTGCCAGGAGTAATTCCTGAGTGCATGAGCCAGGAGTAACTTGTGTGCATCACCGGGTGTGACCCCCCCCAAAAAAGCAAAAAAAAAAAAAGACTAGAGCAGGGGTCAAAGGGGGTAGGGCACCTGCCTTGCGAGCAGCTGACCCAGATTAAATCCCTGGCATCTCATAAGGTCACCCCAAGTACACTGGAAGTGATTCCTGAGTGCAGAGTCAGGAGTAAGCCATGAGCACTGCTGGGTGTGCCACCTCTACCCCCACCTCTTTCTCCCCCCCACCACACACAAAACTAGAGCACAGACTCTACATGTGGGAGCTCCCACCCCCATGTTTGATCCCGAGCACAGTCTGTTTCCCTGAGAACTGCAGGGCGTGGCCCCTGAACACAACTGTTCATCACGTGTCCCAAAAAGGAAAAGATACTATTTTTTTAAATATAAAGATATTAGGAAGGATTGGAGCCAAGTAGAGAGGATAAGGATGCTTGCTTTGCACACAGCCATCAATCCCCAGGACCACCAGTAGTAATCCCTGAGCACAGAGCTAAGAGTAAACCCTGAGCACTGCCCCCACCCTCATGCCCCTAAAAAAAAAGATATTAGGGGATCAAATGCAAAATTTGTTTTTTTTTCCAAAATATAGGCAACTTCAGTGTCATATTATAACTTTTTTTTTTTTTTTTTTTGCTTTTTGGGTCACACTTGACGTTGCGCAGGGTCTATTCCTGGCTCATGCGCTCAGGAATTACTCCTGGGGGTGCTCAGAGGACCATATGAGATGGTGGGAATCAAACCCAGGTTGCAAGGCAAACACCCTACCCGCTGTGCAATCGCTCCAGCCCCCATGTTATGACATTAATGACTCCATAGGATTGATTATACTTCCAAATCCTTCTTGATATAGTTCACTCTTTTCCAGAAATTTGGGGTAAGTGCTGCATCCTCAGAGAGGTGGAGACATTAGCATTTGGAGTTATTTCAGGTGGCACAGTAAAGTGGAGAGTGAGAGAGGTCGACTGAGAAAAGAGAAAAGAGTGCTTCCACCTCTCTACCCTACCCAGCTCTGCCACCAGTGCTCCAGGAAATGCCAGGCTTATATCGGTTCAGTTCCAACCACAGCATAGTTACTGCCCTCCTTTCCATCACAGAAAAGAATTTGAGGAGGAGGCAAAAGAGTGTAGAAACGTAGTTCTTATTGAAACTTATTTAGATGTGAGTTGGAAGGAAAGGGAAGTGTGAATTCAAGAGAGAACACAGACTTCTCCAGAATTGAAATAGTCAAACAAGAAATACAAACAACAAAGGAGATAAGTGTTGAGGGAAAACACGGGCTTGAAAAGCAAACCTTCCCCCCACCTAAGATTTTCTGAAGGAGCATCTACACAGTTCATCCAAATGGGTTTTCTGGAGTTTCGCATACATAAAAGTTAATCTGGGCATTGTCACGGAAAATATTTGCTCTATTGATAATCTTTTCATAATCTCATCCCTGGCTGGGATTATGTTAAAAGATCTTTACATGACCTCATAGATTTTTCTATAACTTCTCCTTTTCTGAGGGGTCCACCTTTCTCTGGGTGGGTCCTTAGATATCCACATCTGGATGGTGCCTCCGTTTCTTTTTTCCAAAGAGCTCAGGATTTGTTTTATGTGTCAAAGGGATGTGGTCTGCATGCCTTTGGACAACTTCAGAGCTAGGAAATCTCTATATTTGATTATTTCCCAAAAGTACATTACCAGGGTCCCCTTCCCTATCTTCCTGCAACAGAATGGACCCAAATTTGAAGTGCTCTCCCTCCTATGAACTCCAGGATTCCTCAATGGAAACTGATATCACTTCTGGCAATCCTTTCAGAAGCTGATAAGGCAAATCACATTTGTTCATATTTGCCAAGTATCGTTGATTGAGCATTAACTGAACCTCTACTCTGGTTCCTGGCACCTTAGACCTTAAGAGGTAGAAACAGTAAACATACAGTGAACAACATGATAAACAAGGCGCTTTGCTCTCATCCAACTATAAATTGCACTTCATGGGAGACCGACAATTAACAATGTGCGGGAGCTATAATTACATAATGATAAATGCTATCATGGGAGAAAATCGGATGAAAAATAGAACTTGACCGGTTGGAAAAACCTTGTAAAAAGCTTTTTTTTAAGTTGAGGTGTGAAGGATGATGCAACCAAGTGAAGCAATGAGCTCAGCACAAATGAAAAAGAAAAGAGGCCAATGTGCGTAGTATCGGACAAATTCTGGGGATAAGTGAGGACAAGGACTTAAGGGTGCGTGGAGAATCACACCCGGCTGCAGAGGCGCGGGGCGGTGCACTTAGCTGTGGTGCTGATGGGGCGGGGCCACACACTTTATGGTCAGTATGGCATTTTATTATTTTGTTTACGGAAAAAAACAAAAAGGCGGCACCGCCCTGGGCCTCTGGGGCGGTTACTGCTAAGAAACTCGTGGTCGTGATCACGCAGAGAAGTCAAGAGCGCTACCGCCGAACCACGCGCCCAGGTTTCCCGAGAACGAGCGTTTCCGAGCATCAGGGATGGAGAGTCATACAATTCAAGGCCCAAAGAAGTGAGCTTCGACAAAGCTGCTGGAGAGAGCAGCGCACCGCCTGCCTTTCGCTCGGCCCGCGCGGAGGGTGATAAAGGAGCGGCAGCCAAGACGCCCCCAGCCGGGCGCGCCCCCCTCCCGTGACCCGCCGAGGATCGGCCGCGCCCTTCTTTCCTCCAGGACGGCAGGTGGCGCTGTGACCCGACGTGGCTGCTTTGGTCGACGCGGCGCCGCTCTTCGGGCGGGGCGGGGAGTCAGCCGAGGGACCTGCGGCGGGCCCGCTTCGGCCGCGTCTCCTGTCCGGGTTCCCGCAGCGTTGGAGCGTGGCCTCGGTCCAGCACCATGGGCAAGCGGGACAATCGGGTGGTGAGTATCCGGCGGGGAGCACACTGGGGGCGACGCGGCCCCGCGGACGGGAGAGCGGGAACTCTTCCAGGCGGCGCCGAGGGTCAGCGGCAGCGCTCGGACTTCGGGGGAGTCGGCTGCCCCCCTCCGCGCTCCCAGGCGCGCGTGCGCCGCGCACGTAGTCGGCGCTTTGGGCTGGCCCCTGCCGGGGTCTTCTGCTTCCCTGCCGTTCCCCCCCCCCCGCCCCACCCCCCACCTCGCGCTCCTCCTCCTCAGTCCCGCCTAGCCCTGTCAGCAGCGCTTCCCCGACCCCGCTGCCGCACGTGGGCCGGCAGTTTTTATAGCTTGCGGGCTTCCGGGGCGGGGGAGGGGGACTTTTTGAGCGGCTGTAGACCCCCTGCTCGCCAGTCTCCAGACCCGAGTCTGAGTTGGACCGAGGAGCGGGGGCTGGTTTTCTGCCCACCCCGGCCGTGTTCCCTCCCCCCCCAACCTCCCCGAGGGGCCCCCTGCCCCGGGCGTGCAGCGCGCCCAGCGCCCCGGCTGACGAGCGGGATGGCACTGTTAAGTGACCGGGCCCTGTGAGGAGTGGACGGCATGGGAAGGGCTGGTTTCAGAGGGGTAAGGCGCCGGCTGGAATGTTCCCCTCCCCCGCGAGAGTCTCGTGGGCCCGCGGAGAAGTCGCGCGTCGTCCCCGCGCCTCAGTTTTTTTTTTTTCTTCTTCTTCAAGGGAAGGCATCCTTGTTGACCCCCAACGGTCCAGAGACCACCCGGCGGGTGCGTGGCCTGGCCGGAAAGTTGTTAATGGCTTTCAAGCGAGAGTGAGATTTTTCTGTCGGAGAGATTTTAAGAAGTCAGGAATAACCCAGAATGAAAGACATTCTGGAAAGACTTGGAGTGCGGGTGAAACTCGGGTGCTTTTCAAGGGCGTGCGGAGATGGGAGACAGGTCTTCTGGGCTACTTTGTATCAGGAACTCCGATATCGGGGAAGGACGCCCCGAGCATAAGGATCAGCCCTAAGATTCGGTTGAAACCCTACAGCTCTTGGGGTTACAAAACTGTTACAAAACAGTTCTCTACTGTTTTGCAACTTTTAAATATATATATATTAGAAATATTGGGGCTTTAGTTTTTTGTTTTTTTTTTAAGCACCGTGATTTACAGTGTTGCAGACACCAGAATGCCCACTTCTGTCCTCTACAGTGGTCCAGTTCCTGCTCCTCAGCTCCCGCCCACCCCGCCCCGTTTTGCTCAGTTCTTTAGACCGGTTCTCAGGTTGTGTTACCGTTGGGCATTTGTGATTTCCTTCCTGTGTCTCTTTCTATCCCGCATATGAGAGAGCATTCTCTCTTTCTCCTGGCTAACTTCACCAAGTGTGATATTCTCCACTTCCACTTACGTGCCAGCAAATTGCATGGTTTTATCTTAGAGCCCAGTAGTATTGCATCTATATCCTTAGAGGGCTTGTTTGGGCTTGGCTTGGTTTAGGTTTGGATTTGAGGGGCTAGAACTAGCAGTGCTCAGGGCTTGCTCCTTGCTCTGTGCTTCGGGATCATCTTGGCCGGTCTGGGGAGACCATGAGATGTTCAGGATCTAATTCAACTTTGCAAAGTGCAAGGCAACCGCCCTAGCCTCTGTACTACCTCTCCCGCTCTAGGTTTTTTTTTTTTTTAATCCAATCATCTGTTTGTGACCCGAGTAACCACTGAGCATGAAAATTGAAGGAGTGTCGGAAATGTAAATCATGTATTAAATTTATTGAACTAGAGTCTTCCTTTAAGAAACGAATGCCTTTACTACATAATGCTAAAAAAGCTTTACTTTTATTAAACGATATTTTTCATCTCAAGAACGTTTGTTTCATTTTATACATGCTTATCCTAGGAACCACAGTGCTTTACAAGATTGTGAAGTGTTTTTGTGGTATCCTGGTTCTCAAGACTTGATGTGGTGTTCTGTTGGAGCATCTTCCAGCTACAGAGATGGAGTGTTTTGGTTCCTTAATGCTCTGTCTTAAATATTTATAAATCACTAGACCTTTTGCCCATTTTCACATGAAGCTTTGAGGTGCTCTGTTTTATGGAAAAGGGAGCAGCACTTTTTTTTTTTAAGTAACTTTATTTACCAGAACATTTTGATAACTGTGAGCCGTGGGCTCTGCTTGTTGGTATGCTGTCATGGAACAGGGTGTTCTGGTAACATTTTGTCTGCACTTGAACAAACTGTGGGAATGAGAAATGTGACATTAAGAGGTAAAAAGACACAGCCTGTCTAATTCAGTCTTATCATTGCCTGGAGGAGTTGGATCCTAGGCCTAATTCTTGGGTGATTTTCTGGTTCAGTTTTCTCTTGATTGTAAATAACAGAATGAGTCCAGGAGAGAGCTCATGGGAGAGAGAACACTACTTTGCATGCAAGAGCACCCAGTTTTATTTCTAATACCCTATGTCCTTCCCAGCACCTCCTGTTCTACCCCAGTCATTGAGAGTGGCTTCCAAAACAAGCACAAATAGACCCTTTTTTTGATGAGTTTTAAGTGAACAGTAGTGAGCATGAAGTACGGATAGTTCCCCTTGTTTCCTGCCATAGACTCCTGCCCTCCCCATTTTCAACATCAGACTTGATTTATTACACTGAATGAACTTATATTGACATATCACTGGAAATCTTAGTTTACATTAAGATTCTTTCTTGATGTACATTTTTTTCCTTTAATCAAACTTGGTTTATTTATTGGTTTCTGAACCACAGGATAACTGGATTATTTATGTGCTTTGTTGCTTTTTCTTACTTCAGATGCATAATTTAGTCATTAATACAACATACTTTTTGGTACATTGTCATGTTAATTTTCTTTTTCTTGGTGCACTGTCCCCCTTTTTTTGTTGTTTTGTTTGTTTTTGTTTTGTTTTTGGCTTTTTGGTTCACACTGGGAGATGCTCAGGGGTTACTCCTGGCTCTGCACTTTGTAATTACTCTGGCAGTTCTGGGGGACCATATAGGGTACAGGGGATTGGACTCTGGTCGGCCCTACCTGCTGTGCTATCACTCTGGCCCCACCATTTTCTTTCTTTCTTTCTTTCTTTCTTTCTTTCTTTCTTTCTTTCTTTCTTTCTTTCTTTCTTTCCTTCTTTCCTTCTTTCCTTCTTTCCCTCCCTCCCTCCCCACCCCCACCATTTTCTTTCTTCCCCTCCCTCCCTCCCTCCCTCCCTCCCTTCCTTCCTTCCTTCCTTCCTTCCTTCCTAGATACATAGAGTGTACATTGGTGTACATTCTTGAACAACGTTTTTAGGTTTGGAGGCTGGAGAGATAGCACAGCAGTAGGGCACTTGCCTTGCAGGCAGGCAACCTAGGCTCAAATCCCAGGCAATCCTGAGTTCTGCCAGGAGTGATCCCTGAGCCCAGAGCCAGGAGGAACCCCTGAGCACTACAGGTGTAGCCCAAAACACTCATAACATCATCAGGACTTACACAGGACTCTTCATGATGACAATTCTTTGTGCCTGTTGTTTTCCAGGCATTTTCTTCATGGTCTTTTCTGTTACTCTGCTCTTTCACGAAGATTTATCCTCTAGATAAAAATAGCTAATAAAAGTAATAATAAACTTCTACACATTTTGTCCCTAGCAATTTAGCCCTTTCTACCTTGAGTGCAGTTGACCATCCTGAGCTTTAAATCACAAATCATTTGTGTTATCCAAACTCATGCATCAGTTTGGGACCACAAACAATTCTAGTTAAATATGTACTTATTGTTGCTTTATGAGATACTTAAATGAATTAAATCATCGACATACCAAGTAGTGTACAATGTACAAAGTCTATTTTAGTTGGTACCCACCTAGTCTTTCACACTGCTGCAAAATAAAATTATATTAGTAAATTATTTTTTGTTTTGTCTTATTTTAAAAACAGTTCTGTTGAGTGTAGTAAAAAGTATTGTTGCTTAATTTTCCTGAGCACATACATTCAGGTGTTTTGCATGGAGCCTGACTTTAAGCTGTTAATAAATATTGCTGTAGAAATAAAAAACTTTTACATCTCTCTTTGATGGGGTCTGAAAGAGAGTGCAAGGGGTAAAGTACTTGCCTTGCATTTTTTTTCAACCCTGGTTTCATTCCCTGTATAGCATATGTTCCCCAGAACATTGCCCATCAGGAATAGCCCCTAAGCATTAAGATGTATGGCCCAGTTAGCCTCCATACACTACTTTTCTCCACCAAAGGGAAGAAAGAATGGAGCTATTAGGAGTGTGCTTAAGAGGATATTGTTCACGATCAAAATCTTTACTGCTAATCCTTATTATATCCATGATAACTCATGCAGTTGTATCATGAGTTGTCTACAATAGTATGGCATGTGAATATACTATTTTATTTCCATAATTTATTAACTAAATAGGTTGCTGTGTACTTCTTTCTTGATGTACATTTTTTTTTCGTTTAATCAAACTTTATTTATTTATTGGTTTCTGAACCACAGGATAACTGGATTATTTATGTGCTTTGTTGCTTTTTCTTACTTCAGATGCATAATTTAGTCATTAATATAACATACTTTTTGGTACATTGTCATGTTAATTTTTACACAGTACGTTGTCATGTTAATATTTACACGGTAAATATTAACAAATTTTGCAGTATGTTCTAAAAACGTTTTAATAAATGATAAAAAATGTGAAGACTGTAAACATAATAAAAGTTAAGATTTTTTTTATAATTAGAATGGAAAATTGTGAGTATACTTGACTGCTATTTTTGTGGGGAGGGTTGCTTTTTTTCTTTCTTTTTTTTTTTTTCTTTTTGGGTCACATGCAGCATTGCTCAGGGGTTACTACTGGCTCTGCACTCAGAAATTACTTCTAGCGGTGCTTGGGGGACCATATGGAATGCCGGGGATCGAGCCCTGGTCAGCCTCATGCAAGGTAAATGACCTACCCACTGTGCTCTGTCTCCTGTTTTTGTTTTTTTACATAAAAACAATTTTGCCTCTGAATTTGTATGGCAGTGATTGTAGGTTGCTC